TTCACCCTCCACGGGACGGTATCTTTGGGGGTTGTTTCGAAGAAGGGGCTGGCCCGATACTGGTCGTCAGACCTTGGAAATCGTGGTAATGCGACTGTTTACACTCGCTAAGCTGCGTCCTTTCACTTTCATGAAGGTAGTGACTGAACACCACATTGCTCGGGAATCCCGGTCCCTGGAGCACTTGTGTTTAGTAAGTCAATGGGTTCGAACTGACCATCGCAGGTCTCGCTTTTGAGACGCTGGAGGGTCGTCACCTCACTTACTGTCCTCTGCTCCACGGATTAATTATGTCAGTGAAGTGAGTCATTCCCGAAGTGTTACACTTCGTAGCGTTACCTTAAAGCATCGCAAGAGCGCCGCCGTCTGCGTAAGGCTGCGTCTGTCTACTGCTTCCAAGGCGGAAGTCTCTTGCACAACACTCTCATATTGGCTACGAGCTACAATACTACGAGCCTACACTTTTGCCGGTTTGCCACCACCTATGGCAGTCAACCCTCAAGAAACCAGGGCATTGGCTTCTACAATGGCGTTGCATAGCAACTGCTCGTTAACTGCCATAATGGAGGGTTGTTTTTGGCGATCTGACACAGTATTTTCGTCTCATTACCTCAGAGATGTGTCGGTGACGGATATTCAAGGCCTTCATCAGTTTGGACCACTCGTCCTTGCCCAGCAGTAATCAGCGGCACAACATCGCAGATAATGAACTTCCTTGTGCTCCGATGCTATATGGATCCCACTGTGCAGTTGATCCCAAGTCGCGATCGTTTCTGCTTGTGTACAATCTGAATAAATCTGAAAAACTTTTTCTGATTTACGTCTTTATTTCTTCCGGGATTTAGATTTCTCCTCTCATTTGTTTGAGACTACAGAGAGTCGCCACCTCACTTACTGTCCTCTGCTCCACGGAGTAATTAAGTCAGTGAAGTGAGTCCTTCCCAAAGTGTTACACTTCGTAGCGGAGCAATTGTGCTTAGTAAGTCAATGGGTTCGAACTAACCCTCGCACGTAGTAACTTGGTAGTTATTGGCCTACCTTGTAGTTGCTTCCTACGGTTGTTTGGGCATAACACTTAGCTGTTATCGCTTGAATTTCGGGTATTCTATGACCCACCTTCCTACCGTGGGATAAGTGCAAGTCGTGAGATAGGATAAGTTTAAAAATTTGAAAATATTAACTATAAATTGTATATTTATATACTTATCCTATCTCACGCGATAAAGTCCCTCCCTACCTCCCCACTACATAGATTACCACCGTTCCGGTTTTGTCCTTTTATGGCTCCAAGATCGAGAATGAGTATGTGAGGTGATCACGTGGGTGAGGACTGCGCATGCCTCGTGCTGTCATGGACTAGTGAGCACGACTGAGACAGGAAGGCACGCACAGCACGGGAGAGGGACAAGGTAGGCCTGGAGCAAAGTTTCAATTCGTTTCCACTCATGGTCGAATGAAGAGAGAGAGGTGCAAGTCGTGAGATAGGATAAGTATATAAATATACAATTTATAGTTAAAATTTTCAATTCACTGAATTAAATGTAAATAATCAGGAATGAAGTTTGGATGAGATAAATAAAATAACTTTTCATGACCAGACACTATAGGTACATGATAAAATTGCATAGTTCAGTTTGGATTTGTTTACATAGTATTGATGTTACCCGGTACATGCTTATAGAAATGTCTGTGGATTGAGTTTAAAACATAAAAACTCATTATGGTATGAATATGCATTAGACAGCTGTGCTGATTTGAAGAATATTGTACACTGTACACAAGAAGACAAGTGGTATGTCAGTCTCAATATTGAAATCATCAACTGTCTACCAGAGACAGAGTCTACCATCATTTGTCATGTGAACTTGTTGCCTTGGAAATATAAACATTTTCAAATTTTATATTGAACCTGGAACAAGATTTGCCACCTGTATACACAAGTTTTGAAAAGAAATTGAAACAAAACATTAGAGATGCAAGCAACTGTTTTCATCAATATGTTTTGGTGTTTCAAACATGTAGTTCCAATGTGTGTACTGGTATAAGGTCGTATATATCACATCTCAATACAACCTGTTGGCGTTGATCCAATGTTTGTACTGGTATAAGGCCGTATATATCTCATCTCAATACAACATGTTGGCGTTGATCCAATGTTTGTACTGGTATAAGGTCGTATATCTCTCATCTCAATACAACCTGTTGGCGTTGATCCAATGTTTGTACTGGTATAAGGCCGTTTATATGTCATCTCAATACAACCTGTTGGCGTTGATCCAATGTGTGTACAGGTATAAGGTCGTATATCTCTCATCTCAAAACAACCTGTTGGCGTTGATCCAATGTGTGTACTGGTATAAGGTCGTATATCTCTCATCTCAATACAACCTGTTGGCGTTGATCCAATGTTTGTACTGGTATAAGGTCGTATATCTCTCATCTCAATAAAACCTGTTTGCGTTGATCCAATGTGTGTACTGGTATAAGGTCGTATATCTCTCATCTCAATACAACCTGTTGGCGTTGATCCAATGTTTGTACTGGCATAAGGTCGTATATCTCTCATATCAATACAACCTGTTTGCGTTGATCCAATGTGTGTACTGGTATAAGGTCGTATATCTCTCATCTCAATACAACCTGTTGGCGTTGATCCAATGTTTGTACTGGTATAAGGCCGTATATATCACATCTCAATACAACCTGTTTGCGATGATCCAGTGTGTGTACTGGTATAAGGTCGTATATCTCTCATCTCAATACAACCTGTTGGCGATGATCCAATGTGTGTACTGGTATAAGGTCGTATATATCTCATGTCGATACAACCTGTTGGCGTTAATCTAATGTGTGTACTGGTATAAGGTCGTATATCTCTCATCTCAATACAACCTGTTGCCGTTAATCTAATGTGTGTACTGTTATAAGGTCGTATATATCTCATCTCAATACAACCTGTTGGCGTTAATCTAATGTGTGTACTGGCATTGATCCAATGTGTGTACTGTTATAAGGTCGTATATATCTCATCTCATTACAACCTGTTGGTGTTAATCTAATGTGTGTACTGGCATTGATCCAATGTGTGTACTGGTATAAAGTTGTATGTAATAGGCACACTGAGAGAACAAAGTGCAGATCCAGTCTTGGTAATCTGCCAAAGAACATACTGGAAAGGGCAATGTGAAGCTTTTGAGAACAGTATCTAATATGAGGTGATTCACTGGGAACAGTAATTAAATGGTGCTTGTCCCAAGTTTTCGTTTTTAGTGGTGACACCAGCCAGATATCCTGTCCAGCCACTCCCTGTTGCACACCAAGCACATTCCTGCAGTAAACAGCCACTTCCTCCTCCTTGCCCAGTGATTAGCATCACAGTTACTTTCTTCAACCTTGAAATTAGTTCAGTTCAGTGCCAGCGATATGACAAACATAAGCAATCTGGTGGCTATCAGGTCTTGTAGGGGTCATCTCCACACTACCAGAGCACAGGTCTTGAAGGGGTCATCTCCACACTACCAGAGCACAGGTCTTTGTAGGGATCATCTCCACACTACCAGAGCACAGGTCTTTGTAGGGATCATCTCCACACTACCAGAGCACAGGTCTTGAAGGGGTCATCTCCACACTACCAGAGCACAGGTCTTGAAGGGGTCATCTCCACACTACCAGAGCACAGGTCTTTGTAGGGATCATTTCCACACTACCAGAGCACAGGTCTTGAAATGGTCATCTCCACACTACCAGAGCACAGGTCTTTGTAGGGATCATCTCCACACTACCAGAGCACAGGTCTTGAAGGGGTCATCTCCACACTACCAGAGCACAGATCTTGAAGGGGTCATCTCCATACTACCAGAGCACGGGTCTGTACCCTGTTTGTTTGTTGTTTAATGCCACACTCAACAATGTTCCAGCTATATGGCAGCATTCTGTAAATAATCTAGTCCAGACAATCACTGGACCAGACAATCCAGTGATCAACAGCATGATGAATGCAATTGGGATACGATGACGTGTTAACCAAATCAGCGAGCCTAACCACCCGATCCCGTTAGACCCTCTTGCAACAAGCATGGGTTACTGAAGACCAATTCTAACCCGGGTCTTCACAGATTCATCTCCACACTGAAAGAGACCAGGCCTGTGGGGGCTATCATGTCTTGTAAGGTGGTTTCCACATTACTTCAGCCAGGTCTATGGTGGATATCAGGTCTTAAAGGGTGGTCTCCACACTGCCAGAACACGGGTCTATGGTGGATATCAGGTCTTAAAGGGTGGTCTCCACATTGCCAGAACCCGGGTCTACGGTGGATATCAGGTCTTGAAGGGTGGTCTCCACACTGCCAGAACACGGGTCTATGGTGGATATCAGGTCTTAAAGGGTGGTCTCCACACTGCCAGAACCCAGGTCTATGGTGGGTATCAGGTCTTAAAGGGTGGTCTCCACATTGCCAGAACACGGGTCTATGGTGGATATCAGGTCTTGAAGGGTGGTCTCCACACTGCCAGAACCTAGGTCTATGGTGGATATTAGGTATTGAAGGGGAGATCTCCACACTGCCAGAACCCAGGTCTATGGTGGATAATAGGTATTGAAGGGTGGTCTCATTTTACAGAACCTAGGTCTGTGGAGGATATTAGGTATTGAAGGGGTGATCTCCACACTGCCAGAACCCAGGTCTATGGTGGATAATAGGTCTTGAAAGGTGGTCTCCACACAGCCAGAACCCAGGTCTATGGTGGATATCAGGTCTCATAGGGGTCTGTACTCATCTGTTTTTCAGCTCCTGAAATTCAGAAACTTGATGAATTTCTTGAATGTTTCAACAAATCTGCTATATTTCAGGGACTATTTGTTAATCTCTCTCACCCCATTCTGTGGGGGCCCAGCTATACTGGAATCTGCCTAGGGCTGGCTTTCTGTTGCAGTAAACAGGTAACTGACCCAGCCCACCACGATTGTAGTGAGGAATATATGTCAGTACTGTCTGTTTCAGGGTACACGTGTGGGCTGTGTAAGAATGATGCCAGCATCCCGTTTCAGGCCCAGTGTCAGCACGTCTGCTGCTACATGTGCTGGAAGCAAGTGTTTCAGGTACAAGCCTTGCACCGTGCAGTAGTCTCTAGGGGTTTACAGTGACTGTATCACAGCTCTTTCGCGTCAGCGATACCTCAGTATCACTGGCGCTATTGGGTAACCTTGAACAAGGGCATCCAGGAAATATTAAAGTTATTGTCCATACTGCATGTGTTCAGAGACCATATAATAGACATGGTCTCTGATGTGTTATGTATTCCTGAGTTGTATGTACAGTTGGGCAGCTGGGAGATATTATAGTTGTTGTCCTAACTGTCTGCGTTATGGAGTCCTGTGTTGTATGTACAGTTGACCAGCTTGTGGATATTATAGTTATTGTCCTGTGTTGTATGTACAGTTGGGCAGCTTGGTTATATTATAGTTATTGTCCTGACAATCTGTGTTATGTAGTCCTGTGTTGTATGTTATTGTCCTGACTGTTGGGCAGCTGTGTTGTATGTACAGTTGGGCAGCTTGGTGATATTATAGTTATTGTCCTGACAATCTGTGTTATGTAGTCCTGTGTTGTATGTACAGTTGGCAGCTGGGGAATATTATAGTTATTGTCCTGACTGTCTGTGTTATGTAGTCCTGTGTTGTATGTACAGTTGGGCAGCTTGGGGATATTATAGTTATAGTTATTGTCAGTTGGCAGCTGACTGTCTGTGGCAGCTGGGAGATTATAGTTATTGTCCTGTGTTGTATGTATGTACAGTTGATATTATAGTTATTGTCCTGACTGTCTGTGCAGCTGGGGGGAGATATTATAGTTATTGTCCTGACTGTCTGTGTTATGTAGTCCTGTGTTGTATGTACAGTTGGTAGCAGCTGGGAGATATTATAGTTATTGTCCTGACTGTCTGTGTTATGTAGTCCTGTGTTGTATGTACAGTTGGGCAGCTGGGGAGATATTATAGTTATTGTCCTGACTGTCTGTGTTATGTAGTCCTGTGTTGTATGTACAGTTGGGCAGCTGGGAGATATTATAGTTATTGTCCTGACTGTCTGTGTTATGTAGTCCTGTGTTGTATGTACAGTTGGGCAGCTGGGAGATATTATAGTTATTGTCCTGACTGTCTGTGTTATGTAGTCCTGTGTTTGTATGTGTACAGTTGGGCAGCTTGGTACAGTTAGCTGGGAGATATTATAGTTATTGTCCTGACTGTCTGTGTTATGTAGTCCTGTGTTGTATGTACAGTTAAGCAGCTGGGAGATATTATTATAGTTATTGTGACCTGACTGTCTGTGTTATGTAGTCCTGTGTTGTATGTACAGTTGGGCAGCTGGGAGATATTATAGTTATTGTCCTGACTGTCTGTGTTATGTAGTCCTGTGTTGTATGTACAGTTGGGCAGCTGGGAGATATTATAGTTATTGTCCTGACCTGACTGTCTGTGTTATGTAGTCCTGACTGTCTGTGTTATGTAGTCTTGTGTTGTATGTACAGTTGGGCAGCTGGGAGATATTATAGTTATTGTCCTGACTGTCTGTGTTATGTAGTCCTGTGTTGTATGTACAGTTGGGCAGCTGGGAGATATTATAGTTATTGTCCTGACTGTCTGTGTTATGTAGTCCTGTGTTGTATGTACAGTTGGGCAGCTGGGAGATATTATAGTTATGACTGTCCTGACTGTCTGTGTTATGTAGTCCTGTGTTGTATGTGTACAGTTGTCCTGACTGCAGCTGGGAGATATTATAGTTATTGTCCTGACTGTCTGTGTTATGTAGTCCTGTGTTGTATGTACAGTTGGGCAGCTGGGAGATATTATAGTTATTGTCCTGACTGTCTGTGTTATGTAGTCCTGTGTTGTATGTACAGTTGGGCAGCTGGGAGATATTATAGTTATTGTCCTGACTGTCTGTGTTATGTAGTCCTGTGTTGTATGTACAGTTGGGCAGCTGGGAGATATTATAGTTATTGTAGTCCTGTGTTGTATGTTTGGGCAGCTGGGAGATATTATAGTTATTGTCCTGACTGTCTGTGTGTTATGTAGTCCTGTGTTGTATGTACAGTTGGGCAGCCTACAGTTGGGCACTGTCTGTGTTATGTAGTGTATGGGATAGCTTGGGAGATATTATAGTTATTGTTCTGACTGTCTGTGAGGGGGTGGGGTAGCCTAGTGGTTAGTCTCGTCACAGTGGTTAAAGACCCGAGTTCGATTCCCCACATGGGTACAATGTGTGAAGCCCATTTCTGGTGTCCCCCGCCGTGATATAGCTGGAATATTGTTAAAAGCGGCGTAAAACTGAACTCACTCACTCACTCTGACTGTCTGTGTTATGTTGTTCTGTGTTGTATGTACAGTTGGGCAGCTGGGAGATATTATAGTTATTTCCTGACTGTCTGTGTTATGTTGTCCTGTGTTGTATGTACAGTTGGGCAGCTGGGAGATATTATAGTTATTGTCCTGACTGTCTGTGTTATGTAGTCCTGTGTTGGGGATAATTAAGTTTTGTCAAGCCTGTTTATGGTATGTAGTCCTATGTTGTTTCCTGTTGACAGAGAACCAAGGAGTGCCCCGAATGTGGAGAGCATGTTCGACGCCGCCAGCTCACCCAGCTCCTGTTTGCCTCGGGGCCCAACCTGCATGAGTAGGAGGACACGCTACAGCAGACACTCTCTCCTGTGTTGATGTTGTGATGTTCTTGCATACAGCTTGTTGATGTATGTGATGTACACAGATGGAGACCAACAAAAGGAAGGTGAATCGGAAAGCAGTCCTAAATACCACCTACACAATATTGCCATTCTGTGCAGGAAAACTAACTGCTCAGCTTTGTAAAAAGGTTTACCGGTTACATCCAGTTCTTCCCGCAGGAGGCACAATGATCTAGACTGTTGTTGAGATGGATGGAAAGAACATGGGCATGTATCATCACGTCATGAATACGGTCATTGTGTACTTGACCGTCACGGATGTGAACTATTCAGGTTGTGTATGGACTTTCATTTAATGCCTCACAACAGACACATGGAGTATTCTAATAACATGGCAGCCTCGTAAAATATACCATGATTTTGCTTTATTTGTCTAGAATGTTCTGGTTTCAGTTAGGCCAAGGTGTAAATGATGTCAGATGATCATATGTGTTTTGAATAGCTCTATACCGATGCTGTGTGATCAGAATTGGAAGGATGCTCAATAACTAACTTCATTGTTGTTCTTAGGCTGTATATTTATGCTAGTAGAGTATCTGGTATATTTCCACTTTTAATGTGACTGGTGTCTTTCAGATGTTAGGGTCTGTTTCAGTTGTAAAGGTGCCTTGTCAGTTACAGCTGAAAGGGTGTCTGGAATTTTTAACTATTTTGGTGTCTGAAATATTCAGCTGTACGGATGTCTTTTGCACTTAGCAGTAAGGTTGTCCTTTGAGGGTGTATTTGAATTATGAGTATGTTCACATTATGTTGAAGATTAGATGCATGTTTACCGCAGTCTTTCATCACTACAATACATAATTCATATAGTAAATATATGGAACTCAGTTATACTCTCCTGATAAACATTTGGCTACTGATACATGTGTAACTGCTAGCTCATGGATGTCAAGTGACACAATGCAGTACAATGCCATTTATCTGACATTTTTCTCACAATAGACAAACGTGAGACTGTGATATGAGAATGCTGCAAGACTTGGAGGAATGTAGCAGTATAACTGTGCAGGTCTGCAGTCCCGAGCATCATATGCAAGAGTGATTCCACACAAACATGAACTGGCAGGAGTTACTTCCTTCAGTGAACAGCTGTGCTGGTTAATTATTAGCTGCTGGTTTCAGACATGCATGTCTAGAGTTTAAGATAACAGTTAACATTCCATGTGTAAGTGATTACATAACAAAACATTAGGTATTCCCAATAGCAATTTTCTTCATTGCCTCATTACATGTGTTAAAAGGGGCCTTGTAAGGGATGGCTATATATCTGACTAGACATTTTCAGGGGCATACTTGGTGACTGCCTGGCAATTAGATCTTTATTTCAAGGGCCACAGAGCCTGTTGTTCCTTAGATCCAGAGTTGAGAGCTACCTGGTTCATTGGATCAGTAGTTGGAAGGAGAGCTCCCTGGCTTCTGAGTTGGAAGGAGAGATGAGATGGGTAGTTGAGAGCTACCTGGTTCATTGGATCAGTAGTTGGAAGGAGAGCTCCCTGGCTTCTGAGATGGGTAGTTGAGAGCTACCTGGTTCATTGGATCAGTAGTTGAAAGGAGAGCTCCCTGGCTTCTGAGATGGGTAGTTGAGAGCTACCTGGTTCATTGGATCAGTAGTTGGAAGGAGAGCTCCCTGGCTTCTGAGATGGGTAGTTGAGAGCTACCTGGTTCATTGGATCAGTAGTTGGAAGGAGAGCTCCCTGGCTTCTGAGATGGGTAGTTGAGAGCTACCTGGTTCATTGGATCAGTAGTTGGAAGGAGAGCTCCCTGGCTTCTGAGATGGGTAGTTGAGAGCTACCTGGTTCATTGGATCAGTAGTTGGAAGGAGAGCTCCCTGGCTTCTGAGATGGGTAGTTGAGAGCTACCTGGTTCATTGGATCAGTAGTTGGAAGGAGAGCTCCCTGGCTTCTGAGATGGGTAGTTGAGAGCTACCTGGTTCATTGGATCAGTAGTTGGAAGGAGAGCCCCTGGCTTCTGAGATGGGTAGTTGAGAGCTACCTGGTTCATTGGATCAGTAGTTGGAAGGAGAGCTCCCTGGCTTCTGAGATGGGTAGTTGAGAGCTACCTGGTTCATTGGATCAGTAGCTGGAAGGAGAGCCCCTGGCTTCTGAGATGGGTAGTTGAGAGCTACCTGGTTCATTGGATCAGTAGTTGAAAGGAGAGCTCCCTGGCTTCTGAGAGATGGGTAGTTGAGAGCTACCTGGTTCATTGGATCAGTAGTTGGAAGGAGAGCTCCCTGGCTTCTGAGATGGGTAGTTGAGAGCTACCTGGTTCATTGGATCAGTAGTTGGAAGGAGAGCCCCTGGCTTCTGAGATGGGTAGTTGAGAGCTACCTGGTTCATTGGATCAGTAGTTGGAAGGAGAGCTCCCTGGCTTCTGAGATGGGTAGTTGAGAGCTACCTGGTTCATTGGATCAGTAGTTGGAAGGAGAGCTCCCTGGCTTCTGAGGTGGGTAGTTGAGAGCTACCTGGTTCATTGGATCAGTAGTTGGAAGGAGAGCCCTGGCTTCTGAGATGGGTAGTTGAGAGCTACCTGGTTCATTGGATCAGTAGTTGGAAGGAGAGCTCCCTGGCTTCTGAGATGGGTAGTTGAGAGCTACCTGGTTCATTGATCAGTAGTTGGAAGGAGAGCTCCCTGGCTTCTGAGATGGGTAGTTGAGAGCTACCTGGTTCATTGGATCAGTAGCTGGAAGGAGAGCTCCCTGGCTTCTGAGATGGGTAGTTGAGAGCTACCTGGTTCATTGGATCAGTAGTTGAGAGCCCCCTGGCTTCTGAGATGGGTAGCTGAGAGCTACCTGGTTCATTGATCAGTAGTTGGAAGGAGAGCTCCCTGCTTCTGAGATGGGTAGCTGAGAGCTACCTGGTTCATTGGATCAGTAGTTGGAAGGAGAGCTCCCTGGCTTCTGAGGTGGGTAGTTGAGAGCTACCTGGTTCATTGGATCAGTAGTTGGAAGGAGAGCTCCCTGGCTTCTGAGATGGGTATGAGAGCTACCTGGTTCAGTTGAGAGCTCCCCCTGAGATGGGTAGCTGAGAGCTCCCTGGCTCATTGAGATGGGTGGAAGGAGAGCTTCTGAGATGGGTAGTTGAGAGCTCCCTGGTTCATTGAGATGGGTAGTTGAGAGCTCCCTGGCTCCTGAGATGGGTAGTTGAGAGCTCCCTGGCTCATGAGATGGGTAGTTGAGAGCTCCCTGGCTCCTGAGGTGGGTAGTTGAGAGCTCCCTGGCTCCTGAGATGGGTAGTTGAGAGCTCCCTGGCTCCTGAGGTGGGTAGTTGAGAGCTCCCTGGCTAATGAGATGGGTAGTTGAGCTCCCTGGCTCCTAAGGTCGGTAGTTGAGAGCTCCCTGGCTCCTGAGATGGGTAGTTGAGGGCTCTCTGGCTCCTGAGGTGGGTAGTTGAGAGCTCTCTGGCTCCTGAGGTGGGTTGTTGAAAGCTCCGTGGCTCCTGAGGTGGGTAGTTGAGAGCTCCCTGGCTCCTGAGATGGGTAGTTGAGAACTCTGGCTCCTGAGATGGGTAGTTGAGATCCTTAGATCGGTAGTTGGAAGGAGAGCTCACTGGCTCATTCGATTAGTAGTTGGAAGGAGAACTCCCAGGTTCGGTAGTTAGATGGGTTACTCCTTAGATGAGTAGTTTAGAATGAGGAGTAGTTGGAGGGGAGCTCACTGGCTCCTTGGGTCAGTAGTTGGAGGGAAGCTCACTGGCTCCTTGGATCAGTAGTTGGAGGGGAGCTTCCTGGCTCCTTGGGTCAGTAGTTGGAGGGAGCTTTGGGTCAGTAGTTGGAGGGGAGCTTCCTGGCCCCTTGGATCAGTAGTTGGAGGGGAGCTCACTGGCTCCTTGGGTCAGTAGTTGGAGGGGAGCTCCTGGCTCCTTGGGTCAGTAGTTGGAGGGGAGCTTCCTGGCTCCTTGGGTCAGTAGTTGGAGGGGTGCTCACTGGCTCCTTGGGTCAGTAGTTGGAGGGGAGCTCACTGGCTCCTTGGGTCAGTAGTTGGAAGGGAGCTCATTGGCTCCTTGGATCAGTAGTTGGAGGGGAGCTTCCTGGCTCCTTGGATCAGTAGTTCGAGGGGAGCTGGCTCCCTGCTCTCAGTAGTTCGAGGGGAGCTCACTGGCTCCTTAGGTCAGTAGTTGGAGGGGAGCTCACTGGCTCCTTGGGTCAGTAGTTGGAGGGGAGCTCATTGGCTCCTTGGATCAGTAGTTGGAGGGGAGCTTCCTGGCTCCTTGGATCAGTAGTTCGAGGGGAGCTCCCTGGCTCAGTAGTTGGAGGGGAGCTCACTGGCTCCTTAGGTCAGTAGTTGGAGGGGAGCTCACTGGCTCCTTGGGTCAGTAGTTGGAGGGGAGCTCCCTGGCTCCTCAGATCAGTAGATGGAGGGGAGCTCCCTGGCTCCTCAGATCATCAATTGTAAATAGGAGCTTTCCTTTATCCATATTGATGCAGTGGGAAGGCATTGATATCCGACACCATCACAACCACGTCATGGCTGATGTAGTCCCCTGCCATATAACCATGCATACACATGTTCATTGTATGCAGTAGTTTTATACCGGTACTACTTTACAAACAGCAGTCATTAAGTGTGTTTGTAGTTGCTGATGTGTAGTGCCCACTGACACAGTGCATCGCTTGTCATACAAGAGAAACTGTACCAGCGTGTGGGATAGTAGCCCACTGACACAGTGCATCGCTTGTCATACAAGAGAAACTGTACCAGCGTGTGGGATAGTAGCCCACTGACACAGTGCATCGCTTGTCATACAAGAGAAACTGTACCAGCATGTGGGATAGTAGCCCACTGACACAGTGCATCGCTTGTCATACAAGAGAAACTGTACCAGCGCAGGGATAGTAGCCCACTGACACAGTGCATCGCTTGTCATACAAGAGAAACTGTACCAGCGTGTGGGATAGTAGCCCACTGACACAGTGCATCGCTTGTCATACAAGAGAAACTGTACCAGCGTGTGGGATAGTAGCCCACTGACACAGTGCATCGCTTGTCATACAAGAGAAACTGTACCAGCGTGTGGGATAGTAGCCCACTGACACAGTGCATCGCTTGTCATACAAGAGAAACTGTACCAGCGTCTGGGATAGTAGCCCACTGACACAGTGCATTGCTTGTCAAGTGTGACATCCTGATAAGCTGAGGTGTTGGTTCTGCCCAGAGAACGACCTTCAAGCTTCAAGCTGCATCCTTGTGTGTGTCCCGAGGGATGTAATTTGGTATTTTTCAGTTTTTCTAAAGGGCATGAAATATTACTCCTCAAGGATCAGATGTTCTGTACATCAGCGATACGTGATGGGATGTAGTTACACAAGAGCATCAGATATTGATGATGGAGTTGAAAGGAGGCTCTTCTTGAGTTAGCCACAGTGTGGTTTGTAAAAACAAGTAAATAAATATGAAAGTTTGTTAATCACACAGTCATTAGATCATTGAACCGTACCAGTCATCATGACAAAGGATGACATCCTCTTTGTTGTGACACTTCATTGGTTTACATGTTTTACTCAGGCTGCATTTACCATTCAGTTGATATGAAGAAAGAAATGAATTGATCAGTGAGAGCTGACTTAATATAACTTCCCTGGTATCAGTGTCGTAAGTATAGTGTATACTGTCACTCCCACTACACACATGGGCAACACAGGCTCCATCAGTAAAGGTTGACTCACCAACTCAGCGTTTGTTGTCATTAGTGTATACTGTCACTCCCACTACACACATGGGCAACACAGAGGCTCCATCAGTAAAGGTTGACTCACCAACTCAGCGTTTGTTGTCATTAGTGTATACTGTCACTCCCACTACACACATGTGCAACACAGAGGCTCCATCAGTAAAGGTTGACTCACCAATCAGTAAAGGTTGACTCACCAACTCAGCGTTTGTTGTCATTAGTGTATACTGTCACTCCCACTACACACATGTGCAACACAGAGGCTCCATCAGTAAAGGTTGACTCACCAACTCAGCGTTTGTTGTCATTAGTGTATACTGTCACTCCCACTACACACATGTGCAACACAGAGGCTCCATCAGTAAAGGTTGACTCACCAACTCAGCGTTTGTTGTCATTAGTGTATACTGTCACTCCCACTACACACATGGGCAACACAGAGGCTCCATCAGTAAAGGTTGACTCACCAACTCAGCGTTTGTTGTCATTAGTGTATACTGTCACTCCCACTACACACATGTGCAACACAGAGGCTCCATCAGTAAAGGTTGACTCACCAACTCAGCGTTTGTTGTCATTAGTGTATACTGTCACTCCCACTACACACATGGGCAACACAGAGGCTCCATCAGTAAAGGTTGACTCACCAACTCAGCGTTTGTTGTCATTAGTGTATACTGTCACTCCCACTACACACATGGGCAACACAGACGCTCCATCAGTAAAGGTTGACAAACCGACTCAGTATTTGTTGTCATTCAGTGAATACAAACGGATGTTCAGCGGTATTATAAGCGTATATACTAACAGAGGCAGTCCCCTTTGCTGTCACCTGTTGAAGACTTCAGCTGACACTGATGGTTAAAAAATGGGACTAAAATTTGGGTTTGGGTGCGACACTCTGGGATCTGATTGATAGTGAGCACCTGTAGTCTTTGCTCCTCTTATGAATTACTGATTTGCCTTGACCAGACTCAACTATAAGGGCGATACAGCTTGAGTATTGTTAACTGCATATAACAAGATTCACTCACTCACACCTCACAGGAACAGACAGTGGAAGCTACTCTGTTTAATATTATGTTGTGTGTTGACTCCCAAGTTAAATGAGAAGGCTATCCCAGAAATCTGTACATGGGTATGCAGAACTAGATTGTGTAATGAACCACACAGTATCATTGAACCATTACCATGTTTTTTAGTACACAGGATTAGGTTGATGAAAGGTGATACAGAGGGTCAAAGTGTGTGCCAAGACAGAAGTCACTACTCTCAGGAAGTTCAGTATTTGTCACAGTTGAATATCGTCAGTGAGATATGAGCCGTCATTGAGTCAAGGCATCATTGTTGGAGACCGAAAAGTCCTGCTTTGTGATAAGTGTGTCATCTGCACTGGCCAAGTCAGGTTGTAGATGAAAGGCCTCAAACCATATTCTCCTTGCACCCAACAGCCTCCATCAATATGCTGCAGTGAACCAACTCGAATAACCTAGTCTTCTGGAAGCTGCCTCACCTGTAAATAAGTCAAGATCCTCACAGTTGATCGTCTACACTATGGTAGTAATGAAGGTGTAAAGTGCTGGGGCAGAGTTTGTACTGTAGCAACTAAGGGAGGTTACTCTAAAGTACAACCATAACTCAACATTATGAGAGTGCCTCAATCAATTTGCTGCCAGTTACATTCATTAGAATATACACTGCCACATGACACTTGATATCACCATGCGTTTACATTACTGTGAATGCCACTGTTACAACAACGGTATTGTGTATAACATTTGCCATGTGTGAGCTACAACTCCACCTACATTGGACTTATCACAGAACTTCCAGTTGTGCACCTGTACTCCTAAGTCAGACTAAGTGACACTGGACATTGTGCCGACATTGGCAGATGCTCAACAGGAAGTACCGGTTGGCACAGCGATTGAGTTATCGGACGGAACAGTCTCAACAGGTGCTTGTACACCGGATATGAAGAGGCAAAACAATCATATATGGGTGGATGCTGCTGCTGATGAGGACTGGTCGGGACATCCTGAATCTGATATCTACCGTCCCGAGTGGAACTTAATGGCATGAGAACTTTGTGTACAACTAACACCGGCGCATGTAAGGCCCAACCATCCTTGTTATTCGTCATGTATAATTTCGGAGGTGCTTCCTTCTGGTGCATGACGTCACTGAGGTCGGCGTCAATCGTTTCTAACACGAGACTTGTTTTGGCTGTATGTGGTTAATTATCGTGTCTTTTGTCTGGATTCCCTGGAACGTTCCATGTGAACTTAATCGAGTTATTTGCTAGTTTACTACCAGTCTATGAACAGGGTTGTCACTTCCTAGCAATAGCGTGGTTAGGAAACAACAACTGATCCTTGGTGATGTTATATGCTTCATCTATCCACCACGTGTTAACGTTCGCTGTGTGTGTGTGTTTACAGAGGCGTTTAGTTGAACCACATGGCAGTCCGTGTTACAAGCCTTGTAAATTATGACAACCATTTTTTGTCAACTTCCTAACAGTGGCAGCTAATTTAGCGTAAGTCAACACTTCACTAAGCTGGGGCATCAATATTTTGATTTCAACGAGAATCGCTGCAATAATCCGTCTTTTCGAGACCTATATTGCTCGTCACGTTCCTAATGACCGCCCAACACTAGCCGAACGCCAATAATGATCCGAGTGCATTAGCTTTTACAGCCAGATAGTCAGGTCAAATGTACACAATAGCTGTTTTGTGGGTGGTGGGTGTGGTCCTGCATTCTTCTCCCTGACTCGGGTGCAGGGTTATTTGTTCGCCCGTGGCCCATGATGTGGCCCGTGTATACACAGACTACATTTTTTAGACAGGTGACGCATCCATTATAACAAGAATTCGGCCCTTTGTCAAGAGCGGAACAACACGGTAGAAAATTACTGACCCAGTAAAACAGTTATTTACAAAATGCTCATGATGCTACACCTTCCGATATAGACTAATGCTTAGTCTCTGAATATATATAATATTGATAGTAACAAACAAGCCCATTTAAATTGAAAAGGAGCCCTAGGGAGACCAGAGATCCTGAACCTGATGAAATCTAGACTTGCTTTATTTAGGGCTTTAGCACTGCAGAGAGGGCTTGGCAGTGGGGGAAATAATGTGGTTCAGGGACTGTGAGACAAGACTACTTCCGATAATATAGTGATCCTTGTGATGTTTTGTGTAAAGATGGGGTCGGACGTCGGACCAAGCACAGAATTGTGTCGACCCGTGAAGGTCCGAGTTAGAATATTGATCTTCAGTAACCCATGCTTGTCGTAAAAGGCGACTGACGGGATCGGGTGGTCAGGCTCGCTGACTTGGTTGACACATGTGATCGGTTCCCAATTGCGCAGATCGATGCTCATGCTGTTGGTCACTGGATTGTCTATTCCAGACTCGATTATTGACAGACCGCCGCCATATAGATGAAACATTGCTGAGTGCGGCGTAAAGCTAAACTCACACACAGAGAGAGAATTGTGTCCCTTTGTTGTACTTTTATCTCTGGTTCGAATCCCCTTAAGTCATTGTTGTCATCCTTGGTTCTTTGGCACCTCTTTGGACTTTCATTAGAGTGGCAAAACTTCACTTCAGACATTAACCCGACACCTCCACATATAACTGAAATAAAGTTCGTGTCGTTGAAACCAAGGTATGTGGTTATATCACTGCCTTGATTGTATTGCACCACAGTTTGGCTTCATCAGTTACATGTCAAACAGGGCGTGCAGTTAAGTAATGTACAGCATTACACTCTCCACTAGTTGAATAACGGCGTTATTTGCCCGTGTATAAATATGTATTCCCCTAACGACATGAAATAAGAATATAAAACATCGCATCTGGCGTGTCATGGTTGTGCAGATATCACAACATTTCGTATTTCTATAGCCAGGGAGACTACCCCTGCTACAGCCAACTCCTACTGACAGTTCCCTCCGCCCGAACATCTTTGGAAATATAAGCTTCCAAATTGTAGCTCCACGGCTCTGGAATTCTCTAGCTCCCTTTTGAATTACGATCTTCTCAGAACATAGAAACATTCAAATCACACCTGAAAACCTACCTCTTCACCTCATGTTATGCCTGAACTGCAAACTCCTCGTGTATATAGACTCACTGCTGTAATCTTCTCCAGGAAAATTCATTGCCCATAAAGCCCTTTTGAGCAGTTAAACCTAACTGGAATTAAGCGCTATATAAATATATATATTTTTATTTTTATTTATTTTATTCTATGTGATGTGAATGAGGACGGCATGAAGCCCGCACCGACCATGCAGTTCCATGGTACTGAGCGTACCCTGTACCACACGTTACGTAACCACCATGCACGTATCATGTATCGGCTGATGTTTCACTCATTCCAGGAGTGCGAGCATCTTGCCAAGTGCACCGTTTATCGTTTATTAACCGTGGACGCTTTGTTCTCTGTAACTAGCGCTGTGCATGTAAGTAAAATGGCCACACAGGCTCGGCGAAGGCTTGCCTGATCTGCACTGCACACACACGAGAACTCCCTATTATATCATTGATGTCAGTGGATTTGCAAGACGAGATGATTGGATACACGGATGTCCGCATTAATAATCTGAAAAATTCCAGACTGGCAAGTTTCAACTCATATTTCAGTCATCCAGTGCCCGTTTGTACATGTGGGAATATCCGCCAGAGAGAGATAGGACTGCCATGATACTTGACTGCCATGCTGGTGGTGGTTCCAATAACATTCCGGTCAGATGAAGGGGCAACGGTTCCCGTACTGGCAGGTTGTCTGAACATGAATTGCCTTGAAGTATTTTTAATAAACTGCGAGTTGATATTTACAGTCCTTGAGCGTCAATGTCATGGTTGCCGTAAGGGAGATGACTCTGTGACTGAGTGTGTTAACTTATACAATGCATGGACTACTTTTCAAAACATCCATCAATATTCAGTCTTGAGGGCATTAAGCCTTCCTGAAAATTCGAGCCTCGATCCCTGAGCTTGATTATGATGTCAACATTACATTTCTCAGGTATTCACATTTCATTGTAAACCTACAACACGACACCTGCTTGTAAATCTGCACTTAAAATTCATCTGAAGATACGCCTCCAAACCGCTCACAGTAATGTGTTCTCCGCGACCATGTTTTCTCTATTTCCAAAGGAGTCCCCTATCAAAGTCGCCATAAAGATGTACCCGTGCCTCACATTGTACTTCCACAGCTTCACTAGTCTCTTAAAAGCTTAGTTCGTGATACATGTGATGTGTTTTATACCCCCATCAGTAATGACGCATAGCTCGGTGTCTTACCTCCGAGTTATTCCGGTGTCAGCCATTACCAGTAATAAAGACATATGCACGGCTATGTGGCGACATCCTGCATGCCAGCAATGTTGCCGGGGCGGTATAGCTTTACCTGGTCCTGATCACATACGTGCCCCACTCACTGGAATGTCCACTTACTGAACAAGGGACTACAGCCAGGTAGCGGAGTGACCTGGAGTTGGTGAATGGGGCAGATGCCCCAGGAGTGCACCACACAACAGTACCGGTATCTGTAGAATACATAGATACAACCTATAGCCTTAGTAGCTGATATCATACATCAGGCCTCATGATATCTGGTAAAAAACATC